TGTTTGTATGCAAGTCTGTTTGGTGTTTGAAGCGAACTTGTTATTCTTTAGCGACGACAGAACCGTTATTCTGTTTGCTAATCTCGTTTTTTTTTTGATTGGGGGGGGTGGTGATGCTGCTTTATATAGTATCCTGAAGCTATTTGTCCATATGTTCTACTTTCCAACTCTTCTATTTCCGACTAAATCCTTCTTCCTGACTCTTTGTTTCTCGCATTCCTGCTGTGGACTATTGTGTGGGGCAGTTTGCTTGGATGGAACATTACCTGGTTATCATTTGCATCGAGGACATGGATCAGGAGCAAACAGCTGGCTCATCCACTTAGAGGTTTTGCTTTTTCATTATAAATTTTTCTCTATTTTTTCTCGTACTGTATACTGAACTATTCAGAGGTAAAGTCTGTCGCTCTTCAAAAGTTACGCACCAAAAAGTGTTAATTATTATTGATCAAGCTGTATTACAGCTATGGTGTAATGATATCTGTTGATATTCAAGTGAAAATCATGTGACAGGGAGGTGGTTGGTGTAATAGTGTTAGATCATGTGTTTTCCGGAAGACAACGAGACGTGGATCATCAAAATTTATGGAAAAGGAACTCCCTTTTACAGGAATATTAAGCAATAATGCTGAACAAAATCGAGGTTTCCGTCCTGTCACCTGCCTGGATAATCAAATTCTGGCTTTTTTTCCTCTCTAAAGACTCTTAACTGCCTTGCTCACGTCCTTGTTTCCTGTGATTTTAGATTTTTTCAACTGGAACAGAGTGAGGCTTCGTTATTGTGATGGTGGTTCTTTTACTGGGGATAATGAAGATAAGGTTGAATAGAATCTTGCTGTTCACTATTTTTATCGCTATCATCATCATTATTAAATTTATTCTTGTGTGGCTGTCAAGATGGTAAAATAACCCGAAAGAAAGAAAGAAAGGCCTGCATTTCAAATTTGATATAATATGTGGATTATGACATTTTGATTACTGCACATGCTTGAATCAGTAATCATGAAGAATGAGAAAAAAGTTCTCATGAATATAGCTATTGGCTCTACCAACTTTTATGTTGTTTTCATCTTCCTTGATTATCTGGCTGTAACATCTCAACTTTTAGGACTAGAAGCTCAAGCTACTAAGCCCAATTGAGCAAGAGTCTCATAAGGGTCATGAAAAAGGTTACTTAGTGAATACTAGCCTGAGAAGAAATATCATAAGATGATGTGTTTGAATCCTTCTAGGCTTTAATTAATACTTTTCCTAAATCGTAGTGCTTCCAGTTGCGTAATCGAACACCTAAAATGAGGATGTGTCACTGTTACTCTTAGTTGTAGTCTTGTAGATACTCACATTTATAAAATGGGAAACTCTACGGAAGAGGCATGAGGAAGAGACTGCTTGTGATTAGTATCCTTATCTTTTCAATTCAAATTAAAGCTACTGACATTCATTTCTAAAGGACGTGTTTGTGTAAATTGTACGTTTGTGATAGGCTGCTAAACTGAAATTTAGAGGACAACGCATTTGGTTGGCTGCAATGGAAGATTTGATGTCAAAGGGAATGCGTCATGCCAAGCAGGTTGTACAGTCACTTGTATCTAAAATACTACTTGATCATCATTTTTCTCATCACATGTACAACTACTGGTGCTTTAGGCTCTTCTTTCTGGATGCTCAGCCGGTGGTCTGGCTGCTATTATACACTGTGATGAATTCATGGTCTATTTCCGAGTGCTACTAGAGTGAAGTGTTTGAGTGATGCTGGGTTATTTCTTGACGTGTGAGCAACTAACCACAGTATTTCATGTTTCCCATACCTTTTCTGCCATTCATGTAGGATTTTGTTTCGTAAATTAGTTGTTAATTGTTGGTCTCTTTTGAATTTGAAGGGCCGACGTCTCAGGTGGTCGTACTCTCAAAGATCTATATGGTGGTGTTGTAGGATTGCAGGTACAATGTGAATTTTTGCTAATGATTACTTTCCTGTTATTGTCAAGGACGACCACTCTCACTTAAAACTTAGCTACAACTCAGATTGTAAGTCATTGAGTTTGAACTTTGTAAATCTTCTGTTGAACATTGCAGGGGGTGTGGAAGAATCTGCCACGCTTTTGTACCAACCATCTTGATCCAACTTCAGTAATACCCAATTTCTACTATCCTGAGAATTCAGATATATCATGTAGAACATAATTTGCTTGCTCGTAATCTCACTTTTGCTAGTACTTTTTGTTTTTGAAATTCCAGTGTTTCTTCCCTCAGAACTTGATCGCCAGTGTTAGCGCCCCACTATTCATTCTCAATGCGGCCTATGATACGTGGCAGGTAAATTGTCTGATTTTCATATTTCATTGTTAGCATCACCTAGATATCTTGATAAAGGATGTTTGTTTTAGGCACTGCTTTGCGATGCCTTACATTTATTGTTGGCAAATTAGACAAAATTTATACATTTTTCTGATTGCATCAGATACAATCCAGCATAGCTCCTCCATCAGCAGATCGCCAAGGCTATTGGCATCGTTGCAGATTAAACTTTAATAGATGTACTAGAAATCAAATAGAGTTTCTGCAAGGTGATTTATTATTGAGAAATTTTCATTTGAATTAAGTAGAAATCCGTTGAGCAAGTCAGTGCATGGAGAGACTCTCTTCTTTCTGTGATACAGGATTCAGGAATCACATGCTGAATGCCGTCAGAGACTTCTCAAGATCAAGCCATAATGGATTGTTTGTAAATTCTTGTTTTTCCCACTGTCAAACCGAGAGGCAGGATACGTGGTTTGCCCCCAATTCTCCTGTCGTTGGGAAAAAGGTGAGCCCGAGACACTACCAAAGCATTTTTAGTTGAAATTTCACATGTGGATATCCATTGCCTGAATGGGTTTTCATTTTTGGGGAAAAAAATGTTTGGTTGATTAAGAATGCATTTAACGACCAATCCAAACCGCATATTGCATTATAACTAATTGTAAACAATGAGGCTGAAGTTATATGGAACCTGTAATAACTGAACGTTAACCGGGAATTGGTGGTTAATTTTGGTTCTCCAATGGCAACGGTATTATTTTCGGTATGTCCCTGCTATTTAAGATGTAATCCTATCATTTGACTTTGTCCCTTCAACTTAAGATCTTAATGTTTATAGTAATTTACATAAATGAATGTGCAGGCAATCGCTGAGGCTGTTGGGGATTGGTATTTTGACCGAGCTGGTGTAAAAAGCATTGACTGTGCTTACCCTTGCGATAAGACATGCCACCATCTGGTTTTTGAATGAGTCTGCTATCACTCTCACCCATATTATCAGTTTCCATCTCTTCATTTCAGCCACTGAACGCAGAGCATGCCATTCATTCAACTTCTTACATAAATAAACAAAAGGATTGCTGATGAGTGAAAATTCTCAGTCAACTTCTGGCGTATTTGATGAAAGCTATCTTACAATTTATTTACTTCAGTCGTGGTTGCTGAGGCTGGCAAATGCCATGCATTTTTGTAATATTATTTCCATGTGCGAAGTTACATATACTGCTTAGCCATAGCCTTGGACGCTTGGATGTGACCAAATGTCGTAAATATTTACGATGTAGTGTTATAGTATAATTTGCTGGAGAATTTCATAAGTAAGATGATTTATCGGAGAAAGCAAATTCATATGGGAGGTTCTGGCGAGTCTGTTAAGGAGGACTTTGCCTCCGCGAACGAATCATTGGTATGTTGAAGAACTGAGAACCACGTAGTACATGGGCGCTGTTTTTTATTATTAATTATATGGTGAGAAAAGTCCCTATCGCGGAGGACAAATTAAAAAAAAGACAGATGATTGCCAAAAGAAATAATTCATTGGCCCGAAACTCCTTGATTGAGATTTTTACTTATTTATTTTTGAGTTAATATAAACTTTAATCCTTCAAGTTTATCCGTCATTTTATTTTAGTTTCTCAAATTTTAAATTATAAGTTTTAGTCTTTTAAATTTTTTTTATTTAAAACACTGGTTTCTATGATCTAATAAAAATTTGGACAATTTTGCTATGAGCCCGACACTTAATGCAAAAAAAAATAAAAAATAAAAATACATGGCCGATACTTTATGTCATGGTAGATAAGTTAAGCTATTTATCGTATTCTTTCTTGTAGATGAGCAATTCATCGTCTTTTGTGTTGAAATTGAAACTACGTAATTATTGTAAATAATAAACCAAGTCTCTTATTACATCTAAGAAGGGCATGACAGAAATATACTTTGCTTTTATCCCAGCATTTTAGAATTAATTTGATCAATAACAAATTTGTAATAGACCAAAAGGATTTGTCCTGACGGGAAAGGTCACAATTGTCTGAGCACGAAGTGTTCGATTTACATTTGTGTGAATGTAGAAATTGTTTTTAAAGAGTCACTTTTAATTTGATTTGATAATATTAAAATATGACACGATAATAATAAATATCATGAATAATGTATATTAAAAAATGAACAATTAACACGTATCTTAAAAGGTGACAGTTAATATTAAATCTGTAAAAAAAATGTGACTTTCTGACTTTGACTTTCATTAAAATTATTGATGCAAGCGTGTCAACTTGTCGCAATTGAAGAGGGATCAGATCGGGAAAAAAATTAACTAGCATACTTTCACCTTATATCTGCTCTGTCAAATGCCGTGGATAGATGTAATTTTGAATTTCTTTACGACCTAACGGTAATATAATAAGAATAGGAAGTTGGGAAAAGAAAAAAAATAATAAGATAGGAAAAAACAATACAAAACCCCCTTCTGTCTTTTCATTTATTTGAAATGGACGACTCTCCTTTCGTGGGGACGGTCCGGCTGAGTCCATCGCCATGGACCACCGGCTAGGTGAGGTCATCTTTGTTAGTCAACTATGCAGTAACGATTGGGATGATTATTTGTGGATTGTTTAGAGAATTAACACATCGGAGTGAAAAAAATTATTTTCGATCCTAATGTTTTTTTGCTATAAAACCCTTACTCCCGGAGATGCGATGACCTATGTCGGCGCCGGCGCCAGCAATAGTCTCTTTGTATCATCATGGCGTATAACTTGCAATTCATGTCATTATCATCAATTATTGATCACCCTGTGAAGTGGATTTGGCTAATGCAGGCTAAGGAAGTATCAAAATCCGTGGCGATCTTTCTCCGCCTCGTCCTCTTCCTTTCATATGGTAATTACAATTTCATATGCCCTAATGCTGTCTTCCCTTGATTCCTATCCTGTTCCCTATTCATTGTACTTTCAATTTCTGCCTTATTTTTATTCGTCTTTGCTTTATTAAAAAAACTACGCATAAATGATCTGTCACGCGGAGCAAATCTTCTGATAAGGCTATTTTATAGACATTCATCAACACCGTCATCATCAGCTCAATGATATAGTCATCATCATATTAAAAAATCTGCTTGTTATTTCTATGCCCTTATAATATTGTTCCTCCTGCAATTATATGAATGCAAAGAATTAAGAACAAACAACTCTCTCGGAGGCTCAATCACTATATTAATACTCCATATGGGAATCAAACTTGGGGTTGCATAGCCTCCGCCACCGTTATCCCTCTCGGGATTTTTGTTCTGTTCCTGCATCCTGATGATTGTGGGGCCCCAATAATTTGCTTCACATGCACGGGGATTTTATACATACAATCGCTATCGCCTGCGAATTAAACAATATATAGGCTTGGAAATTATATAATGACGGAGTAGACTTTTTTGAATGCGTGCGCACATGGACAATGAACCATGGTGCGAGTAGGTGGTTTGAGGAAATGAAAAAGAATGACTCAGTACGTATGGCTTTAGAATTTTCAAAGTCCTTTCCTATGGATTAACAATCTTGATGCTTAAAATATCCATTTTTCTTCATTATAGGGACATCTTTGATGAACATGACATGTTTAATGCTTAATTTTCTTCTTATTGTGAAGATAACTTGCTTGTTGAAATTTTGAACTTGTTAGCTAGCAGGAGAAATTTTATGGGGAAAACGGAAAAGCCATCACTGTCGCAGCAGATGCACTGAAACAGTTTGACCCGAACTTCCTTGGTGATGCATATGTAAAAGAGTGATATGATGATTTTTACTTTGACTCTAGTTTTCACTTCGCTGGACCTAGAAGGGCGAAATATTAACTTTTCTTGTTTCTACACAGACAGTTCCCCTCTTTCTCGGTTTCCCTGTAGATAAAACTATTTAACTACCTTGAAAGCAGCAAGTAATGATCTCTGGGACCTCATCCAGGCCACTCAAAGACATGGTGAATAAAAAACCTGTCTCTGCGGTGGGGGTGATGCGTCTTCTGAACAATCTCTCACCAAGTGGCATTCTTTCATTTTTCTTCCTTTTTTTCCCTGTATTTCACTGAGTCATTTCTGTCATGTCTGAGAAAAGACCCTAACCCCCTCCTTTGATGTTGCTATTTCGGCATCAGGAGATGTCCGCTGGAGGACCCCATTCTTGGCACAAAGGTTATAGAGGCTTAGGCCCACGCGAATGACGTTTCACACAGAATGCTATTGATATATAAATGGCACAAATCGCGTCATCTCTTCATGTACTGTTCACTAAAATATCCTCTTCCCTGACAATGAACCCACTTTATCTTCTTCCTAATAATTTTTCACTCTACTGCGTCCCTGAGATGATTTTAACTGTAGAAGTGCTTTTTTGGGGCCTTTATTGACTAAGGTGGTGTTTGTTATTGTCAAAAATACTTTTTAAAAGTACTTTTTCATAAAATGAAACAAATTCCTTCACATATTTATTTTGTAAACCGTAAAAGGACTTTTGAAACTATGATTTGGTTTTCATTCAAACACTTCCTAAAAAGGTGTTTGATTATTGTCAAAATATTTCCTAAAAGTACTTTTCCATAAAACAAAGCAAACTTCTTTACACATCTGTCTCATAAACTGTTAAAACACTTCTAAAATCACTATTTCTCAGCGTGCCGCTGGTTTATCCAAAATTTTCTGGCTTCGTTCTAGATTTGTTCATTTGAAAAATAAATTTGCTTGGCAACTGATTTTAATTGTGGACATCATTGGATATCCTTTCGAAAAGGGGAAACCACCGTCTTCATTTTCAAGACATTGCCTTCAGTCATTGATTTTTTTTTTTTTTGGCAGGGGGGGGGGAGTTAGCTCTGGACGTCGAAAAAGTGAAAACCATCTCATTCTGTGGGAGACAGTCATGGACACCCATTTAAGACATGGTCCCTTGAGGTTTGAAGAGAAAACAAGATGAGAATTCTCTGGACACCCATTCGAAAAGGATTAAGGGAGACCTAGACTAATGTTCAAAGAGAAGATTTTAGGATTTTCAAAACGAATGAGATAAATCCTCCACGAAGTTAATGGCATCTGTTACCATTTAGGTTCTAAATGTTCATGGAAAGTGACAAATGTTTTTTTTTTTAAAAAATGCTGTCTATTGTATACAGATAAAGTTTACAAATTACAGGTCGATGATAATAGAAAAATGTAAAAAGAGAAAAAATAAAGAGAAGCTTAAATCAATCACAAATGTTATACTGTAACAGAATGCTCGAGAGTTTTTTTGTATCAGACACATTTACATATAAACAAAAGAAATTTCTGTAGCGCACACCTGTAGTCAGAACTCACGAGAAATTTTTCGGACTCAGTTCATACTGGAAATGTCGGTGCCTCTTTCTTTGGTCGAAATTAAAGTTTGCACATGTTAAATACAGACTACAGGGTTTGTCCAAAAGCCACTGAGAATCTTTGCAGATCCTTGGCGTAGATGTCTGAAGCTTGAAAAACGGACGGATGCTGGGTTTGGTGCCAACTGGTACTTGATTCATCTGTTATGAAGCCTGTCTCTGGTTTAACCTCACTGTAAATAGATTGACAATTTTGATTCTGTGCTGTGTTTCCCAGGAAAAATGGGGTGCTCAGATACTCAGACCATTTAATTTCTTCCTGTTCTGCTTGTGGAGGTACTTGAGCTTCTTTATCAGCCTTCACAGAGTCTGCCAATCCCCATGCTACTAAACTGTTGTTCTCAAGGAAGTTATTGCTGCTATGCAATTGGATACTCCCACTGCGCCCATTGCTTTTGCTTCCATTGTTAGCAAGGATACCAGCTTCCCAGTTCTGAACCCCATCAATATCGCCAGAGGATATGGAAGGATTATCAGACTGGAGACTAACAGGGGTACTTACATGTGTTGTCGGGAAAATAGAGCTTGGCACAGAATTTAGCATAGCGGGAGTCATACTAGAATTGAGCTCTGACATCATCTGAGAGGAACTGGAACCTGACATGAAGCAAAGAGAGCCGTTGGGGTTTGCGGATAGCCCAACATGTGGTGGATAGTTCACCTGCTGAAAAGAGAAGTAACCCATCATATCGGAAGGACCACAACTGGTAATGGAGCTATCAAGGAACAAATCCTGGGTGGGTCGGCCATTGGTCAGATTGCTGCTAATAGTGCAGCTATTGCTGATCTTAGAGCCGGAAGGAACTTGGATTGGGTATCGCTCCGAAGGCACTGCATTTGTCTTTGGTTTCGCAGGCTCTGCTACGCCCAGTTCATTGGATGCCACTGAGGCTTTATGATGGCTTTTGACGGCTGAGGGGGCCTTCTCCTTGTCATTCTCAACCTCAGAGAGTGGCTTGTGGGTGTTTGGGTCAATGCCTCTTTGCCTGAGCTTCTTCTTGAGGCAGGAATTCCATAGATTTTTAATCTCATTGTCAGTTCTTCCGGGTAACTGAGCTGCAATCTGTGACCACCTGATGGAGCAGCAGAGACAGTTACGTAAGCATCAAATGATTTATGGAACAAGAGCAAAAGATGGAGAGGCCTTATGAATAGCTGCTTGAGCGAAGGGTAACAACCTGTTGCCAAGGACTACGTGGAGTTCAATAATCAAATCCTCTTCCTGCTGCGAGAATGCTCCTCTTTTCAAATCAGGCCTCAGGTAATTTATCCACCGCAACCTGCAGCTCTTGCCGCACCTCTGCAAGCCTGTGTCATGGAGAGAGGAGAAAAGCTTAAAATGATTCTTGCTTTTCGCTATAGCTATACATACATGTGTGTGCGCGCGCACGACACACGCTGCAATATGAGGGAACAGAAAGCAATGAAACAAGATTTAGTACCGGCGAGTTTGGGGACGGAGCTCCAACATCCATGGCCATGCTTGGTGATGTAATTGAGAAGCTTCTCGTCTTCCTCGGGAGACCAGAGGCCTTTCCTAAGTTTCTGCTTGTAACAGCAAGAGTGTCTTCCCATGTGCTCTTGACGATTTGTTCACTCCACCTTGGATGCTTCCAAAAGTTCTGTAACTCTGAAAATAATAGCAGCAAACACTGCTGCGTTTGAATGAACTTGTGAGATGGTATGAGTTGTGGAGATGGGAATTGAGAAGCTAGCTGAAGAAACAAAATGGGAGGTTGATAGGGAATCAAATAAACAGAATAGAAGGAGGCTTTTAAACTGTGCTGGAGGAGGAGAGGTGGTTAGGCATTGAGGCTTTTAAATTTGTGAACGATTTTCCCGAACTGGGCTCCTCTCACACCTTCACGGGACTGTCCCTTCAGAGACTTGTGACCCTCGGGGCGGGTCATCTAATATGATACTCCTCCGGTTCTTAATATAATACCTATTTAAATAATTTGATTAGATTAAGGAAGTTAAGTAAGTTAGTTAATTATAAAAAAAGTGACACATTTTTCTTAAAACACCATAATCATTTTTTATAATACCTCCTCTCCCTCTTCTACTTGATTATACTTGATGGAGTATTTATAGGGGTAATTAAGAGAAAATTGATAAATATGATAAATGGGTCTTATATTTAGGACCAAAACCAACTCAAGAATTGGGTCCTATATTAAGGACCGGAGGAGTATAATATAATATAATATAATATGAACTTCATTTAATATAATAAATATATCTTAATTAAAAAAATAATATTCCAAACTAAATATTTTCCCTGCTTCAATAAATGCTTGCATTTTAAATAAATACTCCTGCAAATGAAGCATGTCTTTTTTTTTTTTTTTTAACTCTGCATAGTGTCTGGAGTCTTTTTTTTTCCCAGACATCCAGAGTCATTTCATTGTAAATAGACAATATGTAAATAAATGTAAATGATGTGTTGGCTTTAAAAGATTTATACATTTGCAGGAGATTGAGTGGGGATGTCCAAAAAATGACAAAATGTTTACACTTACTGCTAAAAGAGGAGGATTTCAAGCGACGATGACACCCCCCCCCCCTTCACTGTGGTTTCCAAGTGCAAATTTCTTGCTCACAGGGAATGCCCCATATCGGCAACCTACACAGATTAAGTATTCCGCATTAAATTCGCGATAACGGAACCCTTATTCTTTCTTCTTCGCCCATCATTTGTTCACTCACTTGCTTTTCCGGGTGATTCCACGAAACCATGATTTGGCTACAAAATCCAACACCGCTTTTGACATCTTCGCAAGTTGAGTTCTTTTTTCTTCTCTTGGAAAGTGCCGCAAACTCTACCAACCCCGCAAAGCATTCGTGTTTTTTGCAATTCGAAAGCCACTCGACTTTTTAATTAAATGTCGATTTCTCAAAGTTTACTTGTCTGAACTCATGCGAGTTCTGCGATTGTGTGGAAAGATATTAAAACTCGTGTTAATTATAGAATTAATCCCCTCGACTTCTCTTCATATAAATAAGGATTCCTCAACCCCAATTATGCAATTGGGCATTTAGTTTGTTTATTGGATGGAAGCTGCAATTCTTGAAATGCGAAAGCAGACAAACGCTGATGATCAATTATTACAAATTGCAGGCATACTTAATTTGACAAAACTTTAAATGCAGTATTATTCTATTCATCAATGCTAGCTCTGGGCTCAATTCTTTCGTAGTTGGTTTTAGACTTTTAGAGCACAAATGTTAGGAGTCCAAGGCTATTATTGAACTTGTGTATATTCGGTGCGAGTAAATATATGTTGTCAGAAAAACCTTGTAAGAGAAAAGGATTGTTCCATTATACTGTCCAATAAAACAGTACAAGGTTTCAAACCATGAATTTTCGTTTCACTCATTTCTCAGTCCACTCGTAGCTACCGGGACAGGACACACAAGGCCTGTGTTAACTAAACCAAAATATTATAATAATGTGTCTGGAAGAGGCAGCTCATCAAGTTGACCTTCGTTGTTTAGTTCAAGTCCGTTTTGATTAAATGGCCATTCCTTTAAAACCGAAGAAATTCATATAATCAATCATCATTGTGAAATGAAGGTTGTTGACTTCCTTATGCTTAGGACCATGGTTTGAAAGTAAATTTGTTTAGTTTCAATTTATGACAAGAAAATGAACTGTACCTTTTTTTATATTAATATTATACGTTCATATTTATAATGTATTCTAGCTTAATCTTTTTAACTAAAATACCTCATATTAATGTAATGATATATGTGTATATATTGTATGAAGAATACTGAGTTAAAATTTTCAAAATTGAATTAATATATATAATAATCAAAGTGTTCTCCCCCGGTTAGGTTTATCAGGATCTAGTCGCCACCTTGCATGCTTGCAGAAAGACAAGGTCGTGGAATAGTAAAATAATTAATTGTTTGAAATAATTAATTAACCAGCAAATCATTTCAAAGCCCCAAAACTGAAGACAACAATAAGGGTATAAGGTCATGTAAATTAAATTTATGCTCGCCAAGGTTGATCTTTTTTTTTTTAAAAAAAAAGGGAAATGAATATACAATCACATTTCTTGGAACAAAAGTAATCAAAATACTCTAAAATATTAATCATTTCCTTTGTCCTTGTTAGATGGCACAATTGCAAAATATTCTCTCCAGGCCATTATTCATTGATCGCACACAAACATCCAAACTAGTAATTTGTCTGTTAGCACATATTCTTCGACGATCATGTTTTGAACTTGAAATAAAAAAATATCTTGGCCCATTATTCTGAATAATAAAATGCATAAATTAGCGATAATAATACTGATTTTCCCCGGATGATAGCCTGTCTTTCTTTGTTCTGACATTGAGACGCTTCCATGCCATCAGAGCAGCCCTAATTGAGACATCCAAATGGGTTATTTTAATTTGAAAAATAAGAATGAAAGAGAGCAGCAAGAGAAGATGCTCGTAATCTCCATACTTCATCATGCATTTCTAAGCTTATCCTCATTCGTTCCCATATATTTATGAGCTGTTCACCCAAGTCTTCAATCCTCGTGTAAAATGATTGGTACATATTCACTGCAAAATAATAATCAAATAAGGCCATTTAATTAGTGACCAATTTGAGATCGGTCAGCTTAGTTATATTATTGCAGGCACCTCCATTTTCTTTCCCTCTCCTTCTCCTTCTCTCTGTGTCTTCCTTGGAATAAAAATATATAAGTTCATGTCTGCGTTTCTGGGAATCAGTCTCTAACTGCAAATGATTGGAACGAAGATGAAAAGGCATGCTTCCTCGGGATCAACTTTAGTCTTTTGATTATGAGCAAATATTCGCTAGCTGCTGCAAGCTGTCATATATGTTAATTGATGTTTCTTTGACTGGCATTAGTTCATGAAACGCGCACGTTGATGGTATTATTATTATTATATTTAATATTTTGGATGAGATGAAAGAAGGTAATTGCAATTAAAGCCTTGGGACAGTTAATTAGAGGGAGACAAAGGATGGAACAAATCTAATCCAAAATCAGTTGTACAATTTTGATGTGTATTTGTGTCACAAGTTGATGAGCTGGGGATGGATTCTTTTGGGAAAGATTAATTGAATATATGTATGGAAATATTAGCAGATGGAGCCCAAAAAGCTGCATGATAGAAAGATTATGTGCAGCATTATTGTGAACAAGAATATTTGACACTAATCTCGGTAGGTCCATCACTAAAACTAAGCTTTTAATTTAGGTCCAATGCATATTCCCACAAATTCAGAATAAAGAAGGACTCAACCCCCTCTTTCTTTTTTCAGTTTTTCTTTCTCTTCAAATTAAGTTGTCTATTTATGATTGATTAGCAAGTCCTGTCTTTGCCAGGAGCTGGACGGTGCTTGAACTGCAATCCAAGAGCTGATTCTTTGTGTCCTTTCAGTTTTTTGATTGACCAAAACAAGTTGGGTTATCGTCAATTTTCATACAAGTATCGTATGTGTTGAAACTTTCCTGGAACTTCCCACAACTTGAGGCATGTGTTCTTAATTAGAAAACGTTGGTCATTATATGTTCTGGTAGGCTTTGAAAAGTCTGAAGGCGTTATATCCATAAAAAAAGGGGACTAATTTGGAAGACCATGGTATGGAAAAGGGGGAATTGAAATGGATGCGTCTGCATTATCTCCAGAACCATATTTTCTGAGTTTAATTTTGCATCGGACAACTAATTGACGAGAAAATAAAGAGCAATTGCTATTTTCAAAACCAGAGAAGCTTCAGTCTAACTGCAAACATAATGGAGCCGCACAACACTACAACTAGTTATAAGTTTATATCCCACAGACCCACACCCGGTTGACATTGAAATTACTCCTCCGGTCTTAAATATAAAACTCTTTTCATAATACATTACGAAAGGGGTTTTATATTTAGGATCAGAAGAGTATAAAATTTCAGCCCCTCTGGCTAATTCCAATGTGATATGTGTATATTTATATATGGGACTTTGTGTGGTTATGGATTGAGATGAAGCGTAAAATATCAAGGCTAAGCAAGTAATTAGTGGGGGTGGTCAGGTTGAGAAGACCCTAGAGTGAAGTTATCTTAACTCAAATGGCCCATTAAGACTACCTGGGAACAAAAGCACATGCAATTTTCTCAAGTTTTTGCTAACAAACACTTTAATTATATGTCTTTCGTCTTGTCAAAGCAACCAGTGATGATGACACACACACACGACGCTTTCTATATCTAGAACGCTAACACCCCCCCCCAAAAAAAAATCATCCTTTTAATCCTACTCATGTTCCCCCTTAATTGCCCAACCCAGTGCTTTAAGCAAGTTTAAAGCATTAATTAAGTGTGATTAGGGAGAGATCTCGATGGCACATTTCAATTATCAAAAAGCATTTAATTTGTCTGGCTGAAATATTCTCCAGGCACGAATAATTACATGTTTTGTAGTGGGCAAGTGCGGGTCAACTTTATCGTCACAATAACATAATTACTTTCAAATTTGGGAAGGAACTGTTGGAGATTCTGAGCCCCAAGAGTCGAGCCTTCTCAATCAATTTTCATCGCAACCACGGGGTCTTTTCAAAATCAAGTGGTACTTCTTTGTTAAATTATTATAAAATAAATTAAAAGGAGATTGATGGGTCTTTCTATTTTCCCATTTGCGCGCGTTTGTTGTCCCTGTGGAATTAATTTTTTTATTTATTTATTGGGATGCGTCAGTTTTTAGTCTTTAGAAGGCCAAAACAAACAGAAACCAATCGTTGTGCCAAACATGGGCCTTCAATAAGAGGTATTTTCTTTGTCTCCTTGGATCAGCCCATTCGTATTTTGTGGGCCCACTTATCTGTTTCGGTATAGGCTAATCTTGTACGTTGTGGGCCTGACTTATCCAGATTCGATCCAAAAAATATTTGGGCCTTATGGGTCTACGTAGGCTCCGATCTCAAGTCCGTGAGTTGGGCTTACGTGTCTTAATGAGATGTCCCCATTGAATGATTCAGGCCGGCAAAGTCGGCCCAATCAAGGGAACTGAGCTTGCCTCCTAATTATCATCTCACCAACCACCCAATGCAGTCGCCAAAAAGGCAAAGTGGATCAACACAGAGCTTTATTCTTTGATGGAGATTTGGAACCTTTTTTTTTTTTTAAGAAAAAATAATAATTATCTTCGCTCCTGATTAATTCTTTTCCCCCTTTTGTGGTAAAGAACAATTTAGATATACAGGAAACCAATCCGAACATTCATTTCAACCTCACAGTTGACAGCTTGACATGCTGCTCTTTCTTTTTACCCAGGAGGGGAAAAAAAGGATAAAAATGAGAAAAAATAATAATAAATTTTATGTTTTTTTATCACTTTTTTATTTTATTTTTTAGAATTGATTCGTTAAAATTTTCCTTCTCCTTGTCTCTCCTATATTTCCCTCGTGCCAAACAAGGCCTTAAATTCAATTGATAACGCGTGGAGAAAAGAATCAAATAAAGAACGGTTGAGCTCACTTGGGATGTAATTTTCTTTCATATGGAAGACCTGACATCTACCGCATAAAAAATGGAAAACTAACTGACGCCAATATAGAACGAACGATCAGTAACATTTTAAAAAGGCAGAAAGGCTTTGAAATGACTTGACGCAATATCACTGTCATTGGAGGGACTCATTTGAAATAATAATATGAAGATAGGAGCAATTGGGAAGACGCAAACGTGGAGCAAACATGGCCAAATGGGGTCGTCGTCACTTCGAGTAATTAGTAATTACGCTGATCTTCTTTAACATTCCACGCTTGACTTATCTCCTCGACCTTTCGGGCCGCTTCTAATCATCATCATCATCGCTCTTGTGAACGCCCCTTTGATTGAATTATGGCTCGTTGATGGCAACAACTAATAATGATGCAGTGTAAAGAATAGCTTTTTTTTTTTGCCCTGAAAAAAAGGACAACAAATAAAAAAAGATGAATAATTAAAATGATAGGACTCCAAGTCAGCACATTAACGCACCAGAGGAGAAATAGGGAGAATGGAGTAGTGGTTGAGTCTGTTTGCATCTTTTTAGGAGAGTTGAATGAGTCTTTTAGGTTTTATTGATTTTATTAATGATTTATTAATTGAATAAGGGGACTTTAGGTTGTTAGAGGTCCATCAACGTCTCTTTCTGTTAGTTCCAAGATATTAGGGATATTTACTTAATTCTTATATTTATTCAATTGTAATTTCTGCATTATAAATATGTTAGCCATCCTATAAGCTAACATATGAGAGAAATAAATATTTGTTCAGTAATTTGGAGATTCTCCTTCTGGCTACTAAATCTAGTTAAGTGAGATCCTTGCTTAAGTAAATTTTAGTAGATTTTATCCCGGCTATTAGTGAGTTGAGAGTGAGATTCTTGCCTCAACCCTCTACTAGATTATATTTCAGTTTTTTTTTTATTCACTTAATTATCTAGCCATTTGGGTTCTACCAAATTGGCATCAGAGCCATGGTTGAGACTAGATCATCCCGCATTCCCAACCCACCTGAAAATCCTGAAAATCCTTTAGTAGGAGATAGTGATCCTTTGACCACAATTGCTGCGCGACTGGAAAATATTGAAGCATTAGCTAATAGAGTAGCCAATTTGGAGGTTGCATCTGAAAGAAGTCGAAGAGGAAACCAACGTTCTCATTGGGAAGCTGACAGTGAGGACGACCCTGAAGCATCTTATAGGCGCCGAATGCCTTACACAAAAATTGAATTCCCCAAGTTTAGCGGTGGGGATCCGCGAGGTTGGATATTGAAGGCAGAGAAATATTTTAGGTACTATGACACCCCAGAAGATTTGAAAGTGGATGTGGCATCAATGTACTTGGAGGGAGACGTGCTTGATCTATTCTCTTGGATTAACAATGAACGCACGGTAGTGTATTGGGATGAACTTGTGAAGGCTCTTCAAGAAAACTATGGACCACCGGAATACCAAAACCCAGATGAGTACCTTTGTAGCATTCGACAAACAGGGACGGTGTCGGAGTATCGTTCTGAATTTGCTCGCAGGTCCTCACGCGTCAAGAATTGGCCAGAGCATTGCTTGTTAGGTGTCTTTATCAATGGGCTCAAGGAAGAGTTGAAGGCGGATGTACGTATCCATAAGCCTAGAACTGTCTATCGAGCAACCAGTTTAGCATTAGAATATGAAACTAAGCTCCAAAAGGCTAATGGGCCTAAGACCAACATAGCCTCAGGAGTAACTCGCACTTTTTTTCCCTATACCCAGCCAGCACAAGACACAAGCATCGCACAACCATCTTCATCTGCAATTCCAAAGCTCCTTCCACCGCCAACCCCAAACACATATTTGTCTCAGCACCCATCAGCAAAATCACCCAGTTCCTCTACCTTGGAGTCTGAACGCCAGCGTCGCAAGGAGAAAGGGCTTTGCTATCGCTGTGGTGAAGTTTTCAAACCAGGGCACCGCTGCAACTCCTCTTTTTCTCTCCTAGAACTCATTGAAGAAGGAGAAGAAATTATCCTACCCTCAAAAGAAGATGTCAACAATATGGGAGATGGAGGGGAAGTTGAGGTTATGTTTAACGCCACGGTAGGGAAGGCAAATGCTGGAACCATGAAGCTCAAAGGTTTTATAATGGGCCGAGAGATTCTGATTTTAGTAGATAGTGGGTCTACTCACAATTTTATATCAGAAGCATTAGTTTCTGATTTGTGTCTTCCTACTAGTGTGACGTCTTCATTTGGAGTTCAAACAGGAGATGGTAGAGTGGTAAAATGCAACCGTATTTGCACAGATTTAGAGGTAAAAATTTCTGATTTAGTTATTAAACAAGATTATTTCCCCTTCACTTTAAGTGGAATTGATCTTGTTCTGGGCATTAAATGGCTGGCTTCATTGAATACCACCCAAACCAATTGGAACGAGATGTTCATGATTTTCTGGATAAATGGCAAAAAGTACAAGCTTCAGGGAGTTATTCCAGGGACCCATACTGCTGCCCAATTTCAAAGTCTGCTCTTATTAGAAATGCAAATGAATGGGAACCATCGGTCAAAGGCAAATCCAATGGATAAGGGAACAGTTCAAGTGGCTGCGCAAGTTCATCAATTACGACTTGAGGGCAAGTCGTGTCTTCAAGGAGGGAGTATTGATAGGACTCCAAGTCAGCACATTAACGCACCAGAGGAGAAATAGGGAGAATGGAGTAGTGGTTGAGTCTGTTTGCATCTTTTTAGGAGAGTTGAATGAGTCTTTTAGGTTTTATTGATTTTATTAATGATTTATTAATTGAATAAGGGGACTTTAGGTTGTTAGAGGTCCATCAACGTCTCTTTCTGTTAGTTCCAAGATATTAGGGATATTTACTTAATTCTTATATTTATTCAATTGTAATTTCTGCATTATAAATATGTTAGCCATCCTATAAGCTAACATATGAGAGAAATAAATATTTGTTCAGTAATTTGGAGATTCTCCTTCTGGCTACTAAATCTAGTTAAGTGAGATCCTTGCTTAAGTAAATTTTAGTAGATTTTATCCCGGCTATTAGTGAGTTGAGAGTGAGATTCTTGCCTCAACCCTCTACTAGATTATATTTCAGTTTTTTTTTTATTCACTTAATTATCTAGCCATTTGGGTTCTACCATAAAATCAGTATAATCTATTACATGTACAGCATAATGATGTGATGGGATCCTATAAATTACTGGTAAGTTGGGTATTAAGGATGATGAGGGGCCAAATATTTGGACCGTTTTGATGGGGGGAGTCTGTGGATGCTTATCTGGTCCCCAACTTCTCCAATAAAGATTGTCACTTTGCCACAACCATAGGGTCGTCCTTTCAGATTTAATTGAAATAATTAATTCATTTTTAAGGAGAAAACTTTGTTGGCAGATTGATCCTTCTAAATCATTGAGACCATACTAGCTCATGTGGTACAGTCTGGCAGACAACCGTGTTCCTGCTTTTTCCTCTTGACACTAGTTGTTCTTCTTCCTAAAGTTGTGCTGCCTTTCCTCCTTTTTTTCCCTCGGGTTGTTGCCAACCTTGTTATTCCTTCCTTTCACTTTCCTTTTACTCTCCCAATCCCAACTTCTCTGCATCTCACACCCTCCTTTGCTCTTGGATTTCTTCGCCATGGCTACTCAAACTGTTGCCGCTGCTGATCATACTTCTGCTTCTGATGAGGTTTGATGTTTTTTTCCCTTTTCGAGTTCTTGAGCTCATACGATCGTCAAGTTTCATCATAACCAACTTTGATCAGTATTTCATTTTATTTTCTTCACTATACTAATTAAGTTGGTAACTATAAACAAATTTTTGCTGGTAGCTCTCTCTCCTCCTTACTTAGTTACTGATTTGTAGTTATTTCTTTCGAGAGGAAGAGTGAGGCTGCGTGAGGCAAATAGTTTTGGATGATCCTTATTGATAAGGAGATATCAGCAAGAATTATCCATTTCATTGTTGAAGTTGGGGTCTGAAAGATTCCGGCAACAAGTATATGTTCTTGCTCGTGAGAGAGAATAATAAGCTTTGCACTATAGATATAGGGATTAGGTGCAGAATAGAGAAGTGGGGATAAGTTCGAATAAAGCAATAACTAAAGGAAAGCCAACGAAGAAAATTCTGGGAGGTTTTCCTTCTTGTCCTTCTTCTCAACAGATTATTCCAACACAAAAGTATCAGACTAGTTAGCGTATCAGTTAGTATGATATTTCTTATCATTATTTTTATTTTTTCGGAACAGAGAATATTTGTGAGAAGAACTCATTAAAGAACACAATAGAACTCTACTGGTTTCATTTTCATAGACCTTCAAGAGCCACAGTCCGATTATGGAAAGGGAGAAAACAACAAATTCTGATTCCTGTGCTTTCCTGATTTGTCCACTAGCATCATACTTGTTACATATTCTACAAATTTCGAATTTATTGTGTTCCTATATAACTGTTGAAGTGTGTTTGCTCAGATTTAATAATAACTGGTTGCCCATCCTTGTTACAGCAAGTTGAGAAGAAGAAGAATGAAGAAGGCATTGGAGAGAAGACGGTTTCTTTGACAAATGAAAATGAAGACAAGCTTGACAAGACTAAAGATGCAGCTCCTCCTTTGTCTAAGACAGAAGAAGAAACTGAGAGAGAAGAGAAGAAGGTTGATGGTGAAGGAGCATTACAGGAATCTGTTGGAGACAATCTGAAGGAGCAAATTAAGGAGCTCCCCCCTCAATCACAACCCACAACAATAATCGAACCAGCCATAGATTCTGCAACAGAGCGTTTTGTGGATAAAGAAACAGAGAAAGAGAAGCAAGTAAAGGAAGAAGACATTCCTGAGGTGTCAGATGAAGTGAAGCAAGACGAACAGAAGCTCGTTCCTGATTCAGAGCCGATCAGTGTCAAGGAACCAGAAGCAGATCCTGCCGTTGGCAACCCTGAAGTGTCTAAGCCCGCAGAAGCTACTGAGAAGGAGACATCGCAGAGGCCGCAAACAGAGGAACAAGAAACTGCTAAGAAGGAAACACCACAGAAGCCACAAACAGAGGAAGAAGAGCAAATAAAGGAAGTGGCGGCTGAAAATACAGAGAAATCAAGTAATCACGCTGAGGTTAATCTTGCAAAAGAATCGGATTTAGAGGAAGTGAAAGAGAATGAATATTCAGAAGTAAGTTTTGTCGCACCAACGCTGGGAAAATCAGAGGAAGCAGAGAAAGAAGAGGAGAAAAAGGAGGTGGAGCAACAAACGATAGTTTCAATTCCCGAACCTTCAGTTGAAACCATCGAAAAACCCAGCGACGTGACTGAGGAAAAAACAAGGGAAGTAGAAAATTCTGATGGAGAAGAAGTGAAACAGAGTAGCAACCACGAAGCAGGGCCTACAGAACCAGAAAAGCCAGAACCTGTGGTTACTGAAGTTGAGGATCAACCAAATGAACTAGAAAAGCAGTCCTTGGAGAAAGAACAAGAGGAGCGATCCGAGACGGTTGTCGATGAAAACGTAAAGAAAGAAGATTCTGAAGATACAATTGTAGTGGGACCTCGTAAAGAGTCAGAGGCTGTCAACACAGGGAAACCAGAACTTGGGTCTCTCCAGGTGGAGGAAAAGCTAAAAGAACTATTAGAATTTGAGAAGAAAGACAAGGACGTGGAGACTGAACAAGAGCTTGTATCTGGTGCAGTGGAGGAAAAGCCAAGAGAAGAGGATTCAAACGTAGAGGAGAAGAGTAAGGACGTGGTGACTGAGAAAGAACTTGCGGGCAAGTCTGCGGCAACTAAGGAAACATCAGAGAAGGAACAAAAAATTGAAAAGGAAGAGGAAACGAGTGTCACCAGCAACACTGTACAAGTTACACCAAAAGAGGAAGCTAAAGTGGCAGCTGCAAATGTTGTGACAGCAGAAGAAGTTGCTGAAGAAGAGAAAGGTGACAAAGAGGAGGAAAGTAGTCTCACCACAACCACGAACACTACACCAGTTGTGTCCAAGGAGGAAACTGAAGTAGCCTCTGGGAAGGCGGTGGAATCTTCTTCTGCAACTGCAGAGAGAGTTGTTGAAGAAGAGAAAATTAACAAGGATGAGGGAATTAATGTCACGAAAAACACGCCAAACGATGCATTAAAGAAGGAAGCTGAAGCAGCTTCTGCAAATGGGGTGGAACCTTCTCCTGTGACCGCACAGAAAGTTGTTGAAGAAGAGAAAATTGACAAGGAGGAGGAAATTACTGTCAAAGGAGTCCCGGCACAAGTTATGTCCAAGGAGGAAGCTGAAAGAGGCTTTGAAGCTAATGGGCTGGAATCCTCTCCCGTGAATGCAGAGAAAGTTGTTGAAGAAAAGGGCAAGAAGGATGAGGTTGATGTGGCGTCAAAAGAAGTGGTAGGGGTTTCTGAAAATCCTCAGCAAATTTCTGTTAATCAGGAAACTAAAACCGATCAGGCAGAGGAAAAACATAACTCTGCTGCTCCTGGTGTGGTAGAAAAGAAAGAAATAAACGCGTCTGATGCTGTTGAAAAATTGTCAAGAGAAGCAGAAGTGGAAGTAAACAAGGTTGTGGAACAAAAGAATGAAGCAAAGGAAACAACAACTGAAGTAGAAGAAGAGGGTGTGAAAATGGTGAAAACCATAAAAGATAGTCAACCTGAAGCAGAAAAGGAAGAGAGTAAAGTGGATGATGGATCAACAGATGCAAGTGAGCCCGCGAGAGAAACTCTGGCATCTAAATTTGAAGAAGAAGAGGAATCTGGTGCCAAGAAAGAACAAGTTGATAAGCCTATGAAAACCGAGGCTCCAATTACGGAGGTTGCCGTCAAAGAAAGCGATACCACGAAAACAACCAAGGACCTTCCAAAAGAAACTATCACAAAATCTCAAAAGCAATCAAACAACATAATATCAAAGGTCAAACAGTCACTAGTTAAAGCAAAGAAGGCTCTCACTGGAAAATCTCCAAGCTCCAAGAATCTCACTGCAGGCACCAAAGGCGATATTAAAGTGAAATAACGCTATATATGAGATGGATCAAGCATACTGGCAAAATCTACAGAGGCGTTGTATTTTTCTCAGGGTTGTGGTGACTAGCATAGTTGTTTTCTCTTGTTTTTGTTTGTAATTGCATTGAATGCAAAAGAGTGCGCCGAGTGTAGTGTACATAGAAGATCTATAGGCTTTGCTTTAGGCAGTGCTGGAAACTCTTGATTGTTTGTTTATGCGTTATTCATTTTGGGCATATGTATTGTTTGTGATTTTGATTGCTCTTAATAAGTTATTGGATCAATTTAAATTTGTTTATGCAAGGCTAGGAGCATATACGACCCAATAGAGGTTATTAGAAACTATATAATACTTTTCATCCTTAACATAAAAACTAGTTTGATATTCAATTCAATTTTAAATACAAAATCTCAATCAATTTTGTTTCATATTTACCCTTCTTTTAAAGTAATCATTATAATAATTATATATGTTAACTGTTTTATTAAATGGTAATCTAACTAATATACATAATATGTAAAAAAATATTTTAAGAACGACAACTTATTTATTATAAATAATTAATTTAATTAATTTTTTTAATCTACTTAAATTGGTTAATGAGTTCTTATATTAAAAACTAAAGTTGCTATAATGGCAAAACTTGGGAGGCACAAGCTGATGTCCTGATCTTGTTAGTTTATATAATTTAAGCACACAAACGAGATGCTCTCGGTACAAAAGAAAATCCGACGCGCGTGGACTTCAAACTCCCCAAAAATGTATACAACTTAAATTTAGACAACTCTTTCTATCTTTTGGGAACTTGAATCCTCCGAGCAACCACATTTGTAACCTTCATCTGATTTGCGCAAACAGGATTTATGGAAAATTGTGTGCGTGTAGTAGAGATGGTTCGAGTGACGCATGGAGATACAATAAATTTAAGCAATTACATGTCTATATACACAAGAATTTTTCAAACCCAATGGGGCATCGGTACGCGACAGTAAACGCATGAAAGAAAGCAAATCTTCAGTAAGTATTTGCCATACACACTAGAATAACCTTTATTTACCTGTGTTTCTACTTTCTAGAGCTAGGAAGGGGAAACCAAAGATCGCCGTGGTCGATGATAACTATCATTATTTCATTGATACAAAGAATCACAAGGAGAAATATGAATAAGATATTTTAGCGCATATTTCTACGCAGAATTTGAATTTTTGACACTGATTAAACGGAAGGTCACCAAATGAATGTACAAATAAGTGTCCTCACCCATAATGCCAAAATTTGTATTTTTGTCATCCTAAAGTCCGTTAACTAAGATTCTAGAGGGTCATCCTTGGTGACTCACAGATATCCTATATGGTTGTGCAAGAGTTCAGTAACCCACGATCTTAGCGTCAGTCCTTACCTGTAAGAAAAGCAAAACAATAGGTTATTTAAACATGAAATTACAATTTTTACGAGCATTAAATAATGCAAATAATAACTTTTTCTCTGAAGGCTGCAAATATTTAAATGTTTTAAACTCATATTCTAAATTTTGTATTAGCGAAATTGTCTACATGGAGACTCCCCCTGTGTGTGTGTGTGTGAAGAACTTGCATGATATATCATTTATAAGCCATGATCAATATATGTATATAATATTAAATTTTACATCATGCTTTTATTATTTTCTTTACCCTCTTTAATGACAAGAACATGATTCCAATATTACCGGCAATGGATTCCACCTAGATAAATAAAATGAAGAGGGCGCTCGCATGGTCGTAAGTCATAAAATTGAAAAATTGAAAGGACTAGATCTAGATGTGGATGTGTGTATGCGCTTCGTGACACTTACAAGATTTACTAATGACATGGTCATGTTCTTTGCTAGGGTTAGTAGCTCCACTGTCATTAATACTAGAGGTATGCCCGCCAGTACGCACTAGTGCTCTCTGATCAGTTTCAACGTTCGTCGCTTCACACTAGCATTACAGTTGAAAGAAGAATATCAAAATGGGCAAGAGTATATAAGCTTGCTAAAAAGTGTTGTAGAAAGTGGTAAACAATACAATAAGAGTAGAGGTTAAACAGATGAATGATAGACAGATAGTAGTTGTCAGAATCTGCATATTTGTCAACTATTATGAGATTATGAAACAAGCTATTGTCTTCGAACACAACAGTTTATTTTTTCGTGAATAAAAATACTCACTCGAAGGTAATAATCCAACGTCAAGCATAGAATAATTTGCTACCATTTTTCTAATGTTCCTTACAGTTCTTTTTTTTTTTTTTTTCCTCAGCCTCTAAAATCACGAATCCATGAATAAGAAGATGAGCATCATGATTTGGGCATGTTACGTACCAACTATATAACTGGATACCATGTCTATTGTAATAAATCAATCTGCTGGCATGTTTAGTGTATGCTGAACCCGTAAAATATCAAAAAATAAACCAGTACCTGAGTGGACATCTGCATTGTGGAGTTACTGCCACCTGAGCCTGGCATAACTTGTGAATTCACGTTCGGCATAGGATCCTTTAAGCTAGAGGGTGAAGCCGAATCAGCAGTTTCCCCAGGTCCTGCAGCTCCAAAGGCGTTTTGTCCTGAAGTTGAAGGGTTCATAAGGGGCCCTCCTGGCATAGAAACTCTTGGAGCATTTGGCATTGGCATGTAAATTCCCGGACCAGGAAATCCGAATGCTTGAGGACTTGATGTTGGCATCCCATGTAAAGCAGCAGAGGGGCCAGGCATAGGTAAAACAGGGAAATGAGTTCCTTGCATTTGAGGCACCTGTACCATTGGGAATCTAGGGGATCCACTATTCATGTCAGGGAAGCCCATCCCATAACCCATTCCTAAACCCATTTGCATGCCGATTCCTATAGGTGAGAATGAAGCCATGTGTGGTGTCTGCATGTGCTGCATTCCTGGGTGTAACATCATTGGATTTGGAGATGCGTATAAACCAGCTCCCATCGACATAATCTGCATATAAAGACAGGGAAACAATCCCATGCTATTACTTGATTATCTAAAATCTCAAGAAAATTAAATCAAAAGATAAGGATATAAGAGAGGTATAGAGAGAAAGATCACTTGGACTTGGAGTTGAAGGGTTTTAAGATACTCAATTGCCTCATCCAGCATCGATGCTTTATCCACCTAACAGGAAACAAAGTCAGCAAAAAAGAATCAAGTAAACAATATGAACCAAATATAAATCCAACATGTTTAATGTTCAAGGTATGAAGCTCCTGTCACATCCGTAAGAATTAACTCTGCCAAAGACAATATTTTGACTTGCAATTCACAGGTTGCAGCCTTGCCAACAATGCTGGACTTCAAACTCTGACAGTTATTGCTTTAACTTATCATAAGTTCATGATTCTTCTATAGGAACAGATTTGGTAATCATTTGATCTAAAGTTAAATCCCGAGAGAAATCACCTTATTGCAATTTGGGATGAGTTCTTGTAATGCCCGCATCTTCTCATTGATCCTGTCTCTTCGTCTCTGTATACAGAAGTTGACAAGAACACCATGGATAGTCATGTATAACAGAAACAACAGAACACAAAATTCATGAGCAAAATATGTGTGCCAGTGCTCTTTATTTATTTTATAATTATTTTTTTCTACTTCAAAACATATTGAACACAACACAACCAGTGGTTGGCCCTGCTCACCCTTTCAGAGAGATTATGCACTTCAGCTGCACGACTTCTCTTAGAACTTGTACCTCGGGGAGGAGCTGCCTTCTTAATGTCCACTGATTCTTCCTCAACTTCCTGCAAGTAAAAGTGTTTTCTTGCTTCATGAAGGAAAAAAATATATGCGAAAGCCAAAGAAATTAACATACAGAATCGTGTTAAGCAAACATTATTATTAACTTACTTCACTTTGACACTCAGAGTCCTCAGTATCTTGACTTTTTCGCTTCAAATTCTTATTTGCATCATCTGAACCTCTCTTCATAGCATTTCCTGAGCAAATGGAGGAAGAGGCTACTTCAGCGTTAATGGTTTTCTCAACAGCCGATAGTCCTTTAGTGCCACTTTCTGTGGGAACCTGTTTGGAAATTTGATCATCCTTAAATGCATCATCCTCTTTGCAGGCAGGATCAAACTGCTTTGCAAAATCAGCCTTCTGTCCGAGAGATTTTGGATTGGCTGGTTTCAACTCAGACTTTGATGGGTCTAGCTTTTGGCAGTTCTTTTGATTATTTAAATCAACGAGTGTTGATTCAGGAGGGTTGCTGCTGCTTGCATCGATATCTTTTTTCCTAGTTCCCAGGCTTTCTGACCTTGCTGAAGACAAACCAGACATCATACTGATGCTCTGAAGATTAGCTCTCACAATGGCAGCAGGTCTCGCAAAATGGGAGAAATTCATCATGTTAGAACTATTCCTAGGACATAAAGGATCTTGTTTCTGCATATTTAGGCTACAAAAACCATTAGAGGAAGATGGAATTTGAGTGATTTCCCCGCAAGGTGCTTGCAGTATTGCATTACTTGTATTATTTTCAGTGATATCCGATATTTTGGATCTAATAGGTGCAAATGATGTTTGACATTGCTGCGATGATGGTTGGTATAACTGGCTGTTGTTTCCTTTCAGCCCACTAGTCTCAACTTCTCCAGTTGAGGACCCCTTGGTGAGATTTGCTTGTTCTGAATTTGAGACCCCAGGCATAGGACTTTTGTGAGAGTCCTTACATATCTGATTGCCGTTACTTCTTTTATCTATCAGAGCAAAATTATTTGAGGCAGCTGGGAACTCGTTCACGGTGACCCCAGATACATCACGCGTGAAATCAAAACTATATTCATGTTGCAGAGAGTCTCCCATTGGATAATTCAACCAAGATATCATGTCTTCATCTTGACTCAAATTCATTTCATCCGAAGGAACAGGTAATGGAATTTCATTTAATCCAGAGTCTAAATCCCCTAACTTACCCATCCTTGTATCGACACCAAATCCTACATCTTTATCTCGAGTCCTTGGACTGTGAGATGGTAAGCTGTGAGATGGAAGACTCTTATGTATTGGGCTCTTTCTTGCTCTGCTTGACTTACCCTGCATCGAAATCTGACCATTTTCCCAAACCAGCTCGAAAAAGTCATTCTCCAGTCTGTATTTCAACACACGAAACAAGGACACGGGATGAAGATGGATCGAAAGATTGTTCATAAAAAAAAAAAAAAAGGAGTGATAGATTGAAATTTAAACACATGAAATGAACCAAATGAAAAGCTTATTGTAGTGGACGCTACAAAACTTACGCGGATGATTGATCGGTTGCACATGTGTTGTCTTTCTCCATAGAATCAAGCTTCGCTTTAGTCATTCTGTATAACTCGTAAAGAGGCATGATGACTGATGGAAGCACAGAGTAATACTCAGAAATGCCTCCTCACTTTTAGGTACTTGGTACTTGTTGCTTTCGACATCCTATATTGGCTCGGAAACTTTCGGAAGCCGAAGAATAATGAAAGGAATGAACACTCGACGATAGATTGCTATAGTATGCAAAATAAAAATATTTCTGAATGCTGAGTCCTCATCACAGACCAAACTATAATACAAAAATGATTTAATTATAAGAACATGAGTCAAACAAATTTTTTAGTGGCTATATCATACCTAAACTGACCCAAACAAGTCAGGAGAAAAAACCACCAGGACTCTGAAGCACGTAAAACCCTCAACAGGGCATAAAACACAAATTCGGAAAAGCAGAGTCCTCCAATAAACAAAGTTTGCTAATCCATATGCATCAGGATAGAGTGATCGTCTGTCATTTACGCTTGAAGTTATCCAACGCCATCTTCAAAGACTTTATTTTGGTTCAAAGAAAGAGAACCCAAAATTTCAGAAAAGGAAACGAGTCAAGTGCATGCAGATGACGGCGAAAGACTTGCAGAGTTGCAGAAGACCAATGCGGCCAATCAGCAAAACGCACGCACGGAGAGGCCGAGCCCAGAATAGACAAAGTCACAGGGATACAATTTTTTCAACAATAATAAAAAAAAAAAAGGACAAATGTTTGGCAATTAACCATAGTTAATCAAGCAATCACGGTTAGGTTTCCTTGTTTCCTATGTGGGACCCACTATCACACCGGCAAATCCCCTACAAATCCAACGGTTACCTCGCAATGCTTCTCAACAGAGGCCCAACTCTCCTCATGAGCGATTGGAACCCAAGCATCTGTCCCTTGCCCAAACGGGGTGAGGTTCGCCTTCGTGCCAATACTGGATAAATGTCCCCGTTCTATGAAGTTTAAACTTCGAATACACTATCAGTTCAAAAAAAAAAAAATCGAATACACTAAACACCTCAAGATTATCTTTCACTTCCTCTTTTTCTTTGCAGAACCCAAAATAAATTGTTAGAATTTTTTTTGGGGGGGGGGGGAATGGCGCTACACAGATAATAACATGGAAAAGATCGGGGGTGGGTCAAATCTATCAAGATCGTTGTCCCAAAGATCTACTAAGAGGTGTTTGATACCTGAAATCACTTTTTTATAAATCGAAAAAAACTCTCAGATATTTATCTCGTATATTGGAAAATCACTTCTGAAACTATAATTTTAACCAAAACACCTTTAAACCCACAAAAAGATAAAACCCCGTGTATTTGCAGGGGAAAATGCGTTCGGAATTTTTCATTTGCACTGCAGGTTAGATCCTCTGCACCTCCACGCGGCTAAACGACGCGTTGGTGTCCTCACTCATACCCCCCCCCTTTCCGAACATCTCTTCTCTGACCGGAAAAATAAATAAATAAATAAAATCTGTCTCACCGACCCAATTCTCTCTCTTTTCTTCTTTTCCTTCCATCTCCTTTTTTCAGTCTTTAATGGCAGCACATATGAAAATTGACTTCCTCTTCTTCCCCTCTTTCACGTTGATCGATCTCATGACTTCAGAAAGGAGAGGGGTTGAGGGTTCACTCGCATATCCTTCCTTGCTGTGAACATTTGCATCACTTCGGCTCGTGTCCTGTCTAGTGGTTCTGGGTTTCTCAGCACTTCCACAACTGTTTATGGTAAAAACTAAAAAGTGAATCTAATGTTTCGACTCGGTTTTAAAACGAATGGAATTATAACATCTTGGTTTCAAATTTGAAAGTTGAAACCGAAATCAACTTCGCGATGCTTAAAGTGCTTAAGCTACCCACTCCCTGCTTCGCACTTTCGTACTCCAACACTTTGATGACTCCGCTCGAACCACCATGTCCGTATTCTCCGTCACTGGAGCCCGGTCAATTCAAAGGTTCTCACCGGGTAAAACGTGAGAGTGGAGGTGAGAGATCCAAGGCAGATATATAAAGAAGAGAAAAGAAGTAGATGAGTAAGAGGAGTGTAGAGAAGATCTGCATCTTGCTGGCTTTGCAATTTCCTGGTGATAATTCGCGGAACATTAGCGATTAAAATGCAAAGAACAATCTGGGATATAAGTTTCGAAAGGAATGGTTAAAAACAGATGAGCGGTTCCCGTGCAGAAGACATTGGCACTTTTCTAATACGACTGAATTGATTGTCGATAGCGTTCTCCTCTTCATGGACTCTAAAGTGCTAGGAAACACGCTCTCCAAGTTCAACCACAATAATCGATAAAAGAAATGTTTAAAAATAGTGCTAGATCCACGTATAGCGACCGAATTTTTCCTCAAGAACACAGAGGAAGCAAAGAATACGCTATGATAGCTTAGAGTTGTCAGAAATCGTGGGGAAGACCATCCTGTGTTTGGTTTCGCATGATTTTTCTGGGAAAGGAAAGAGCCACTGGAGGCGGCGGCGTCGATCCAGGCATGAGTGAGACAAACACAGTAAACATAATCAAATATTGAATTAAGCATACCTTGGAAGCGCCGGAGAACACAGACTTGAGAGTCCTTCCCTGGTCCTGATCGGCAGTTCTATTCTATCTATCGTTCACTCAACAGGGGCAGCCCATAGCCGTCTTTAGCTGTAGCAGCACCTGTGACTGTGAGCTTTTATGTCCCCATCGCCGTATAATCTCTTTGGACAGCGACGCTTTGGTGCATATTTCAATTCAGCACACTAATTAACAATCATAATCTGGTTTAAACATTACGGATATAATATCAGGGATAAACAGGCCCTTTTGACTAATCCCCTCTCCTTATTAAATTAAATTCGTTAGCGACCGAAAAGAAGGTATTAAAATAAATTAGCATAGCATTCTTCTTCTTCTGGATCCCCTCGTTGTTGGGGACAAATGTTCAAGAGCGGCCTCATTTTCTTTTCTTTTCCTTTATTTTCATTATTTTTCTTGTCTTAGATTTCGTCATGATACAACTTTTGTATAATGAACATTTAAATAAGGGAGTGAAGGTGGAATCTAAGAGATTGCTCGGGCTCATACAATCATTTTCCTTTTACATGTGGTCAGTGGTCCCCTTAATTGAAGGAGGGCGCTGAAATGCCACTGCCGCCCTTTGCTTTAAGCAAGTTACTGTTGCCTTTTCCGAAGAGTTCCTTTGATTATTAATTATTCATAATGCTTTGGATTAAGAATCTCCAAACCCAAATCATCAACTTTGAAAACAAATAGATCCGGGTGGGGGCCACTCAATGGCATTTTTATACCACGTAGAATGTCGAGCGCCTTGTGGATATAAACGAGTGCTGAAGAAAGTGAGGATTATTATGAAAAGATAAACGGAATTAAAGAAGGAGATTAGGAAGGGAGTCAAAGTTATACTGATCAGCATGGGAAACGGATGTCTGGCTGTCCTATAAAAACACAGCAACGTATAATTCGCCATTTTTAATTAAATAACCCTTTGGGCCGCAGCACCAAATAAAAGCCCATCATCAATCGAGTAATCCTGATCTGGAAGCAATGAGCTGTGGGGCCCAGAGGAGAAACACGCGGCATGGGCAGTGACCACCTGGATCCTTCATGACGCGGAAAGGGATTTCGCTCCATCTCGCGGGACCCGCACGGGGGGCATCTATGGGTGTATCTATTATTCCCCCTTTCGTTCTGGGCGGTGCATGAACAACCACTATTTACTTTGGAGGATCTGACAAGAGGGCCTGGCTATAAAGAAGATATATATATATATATATATTCATGTGGGAGGGAGGAGGAGGGGCTTCAAAAAATTGACCCGACCAGGTGAAATGTCGATGAGGGAAGCGTGGAATTCACGTGACGTTTTGGTTTTTCTGCGGGTTCCATCGACTTGACGGTCCACTACCCAATTCCTGTGATTTGTGATGCGGCATCACGCCTCTCCCTCCTCGCCGCCACGCGTCCTTCTCCTCTCTCCACCGAATCACGTAAGAGTCATCAAGTTCTCCATAAATTCCTTTTATCTCTGCTTTAATTTCAATGGCGCTGAAATATTATCCTGGTCTCTTGTCACGCTGCTATTTCTCGAACTTTAATATGCGATGGCTTGCCAGCTTGGCAGCCACACATTGGTATATCAGTAGCTGTGGAAATTACGTAATCAGGAGTGTAGTCTTCCGCGAGATTCAGATAATCGGAAACAACGAGGTCGAATGTGTGATGCAACATAAATATTGAGGAAACTAGAAGATAATGTTAATAAATGGGATGTGCACTAGCTGAATGATGGAAGGAAGGTGGAGCTGATTATATATATAGACACACACACACATATTGGTCGTGGAGCCTAATAAATTGGAGCTAACATATGGGTCATCTTTTCTCACCCGCCCGCCATTCATGTCTGCTAGCTTCTTCCCACTCTGCACATGATTCCCACACCCATCCAACACTGCACCTGCTTTATTTTAATACACGAGATACTACTATACTTAATCTCACATCAATGCATGCGCAACAATAAACAAGTATTTGCTTGCTACCTAGCTGCTGCAAACAACAACAACCACTTTTATTTCATCCATTATCCGTGAGCCTCTGAACCAATTAATGATTCATCTATCATGTCCCTTTATGAAATCCCAGAATAATGAATTAGCAATCCTATATCATACATCAGACGGAATCCAGTACCGGGCTTAAAGTAATAAAGCACCTAACAATGTTTTAAACTGCGCAAAGATCACAGGGAAGCGTGCATTATAGAGAAGAAGAAGAGATCACGCAATATGCAAGACACATAGCAGGATAACCCATTATATATTTGTTGCTGGTGAAAATGGTCAAAGCGTCTGTCAGTTTTTAAAGTGTATATATATACATACATGTGAAGAGCTTGACCGGGCATCACTATAATAGTATAGAGCCCATGACGAGCGATGCTTTTGATGTGTGAAATGAAGAGAGCGAAAATAAAAGTAAGTCCTATATATGACAGTGTTTGGGAAAGAGTACAACTGGAAAGCACCGAGAAGGGAAGGTGCTGGGTCTCTGTGTAGACTGTTACAAAGTCCATGACTGTTTTCTGATTTGATCTAATAGCTGAAAAAAACAACTATCTGCAATAATAGAATCCGAGCTATATTGTTGAGGTGTCATTCTCAATCAATCAGACTAGTAGTGGTGCTTAATTCAAATGACGACACCTCACAGATAAAAGAGATAATACGATGAACCGCACAAACCATGGCTTCTGTACAGCCTTAGGCATAAAATTCTTTATGTCCTTCTGCAGCAAGAAATTTAAATGGTTAATTGGTAGAAATGTTTCATATCACATACTTCTATGGACAGACTGTGTCATTATTATATGTTGTTTTATAGATACTGAAAATATTCCTATCAGTGAGAAGCTATGTGCGTCGACAGTGGCTGGTTTTGTCTAGAGCCTGAATATTTCCAAAGCAAAAAGAAGCAGGTTGAGTACACGAAATATGATCATGGATTTGCTGCTGCAGTACAGTGCAACTTGATCGCAGGCCATCACGATATAACAGCCACGATCATAAATATATTCGCCCACACACACGCACATGTATTATAGTTAATCATGAGCTAGCGGCAGTTAATTATATTAAATCATTGTTGAAACTGCGTTTTTCCAAATATGAATTGATAACAAGCTTATAATGTTGACAGCGCGTGGTAATTGCGAGTTTCAACATATATATATATATATATATATATATGTGAGGTAGTTGTAGTGACCTCCTCCCATTTTGGATCTTGTTTCCTGGTGGCGCCAACTCCGTTGCATCGGTGGAAACGGCTCCAAAGGGAAAACCAATGATTTGATTCGATGTTATGAAAAGAATCAACGAGTTTTTACCAGCCACGAGCCAACGAGTTCCTTCAATTGAGAATCTCAAATCCGTTCTCTGAGGTGATGAAAGAGGAAAGATAATAAGGAAGGAAAGTAAACTTTATAACCTCGGTTAACGAGTTCTTTATTTATTTATTTATTTATTTTGACCTTGCCAAATTTGACAATGGCAATAATTGCTTGCCAATTCCAGCTACGCGATTAAACAAAAGTAAAAACGAAAAGGTTCCTTTGTGAACAAGCGACTGCAAATAGCTGCAAAGTATATAAAGACAGATCTGGATGAAGGACGATCAATGATTTGCGTTTAACCAAAGTAAACACGGGTTCTTGATGTGTTCTTTGGGGTGTGAGCTAAGACACTATTTATGGATTCATAACATATGCATAGGGTGGCTTATCCTCTATACTAAACTAATGTGATGGTGATAAACATGCAAAACAAGAAGAAATTAAGTCGAGCATTCTCAGTTGCTCTTTTTTTTTTTTTTTTGCCTGAATTCTCAGTTACTCCCTCTAGTCCTTATCAACTAACAGGTACTACCTCCGGTCCTAATTGTAACAGTTAGTTGACTAATTTGAAGAGATTAAAAAATAAGTTAAGTTAGTTATTTGTAATAAATAGATGTTGTCTTTCCTAAAATATCATTATTAATCAAGTGTATTGACTAGAACTATTATTGTTAGAAAGACTATATTGGAAAAAAATGCATAAATATAAGAGATAAAGTGGAGTGGGATCTTATATTTAAGACTAAAATAAAAATTAAATAAGATCTTATATTAAAGAGGGGATGTAGTAATACTTTTTATCTTCTTTATAAGGTACTTGCCGCGTTTTAAGCAGTATTTAAAAAAAAAATCAAGATTTGGTCACTTTTCAATGAGGCTTGGCAATCTTGAATGGGCCTAGTCCAACGTGCTCAAAACATAGTCTGCTAGTGGGCTGTCCCTCTAGGCCTGCCCCAGATTAAAAGAATCACCACTGGGATATTTTAAGTGGACTGCTGCTGTTTTTTTACTTTCTGGCAGTGGATACCTTTTTTGATTTTTTGATTTTTTTTTTCAAAGAATGATTCATATGAGCGGACTCAATTGAACAGAAATGAAATCAGTTTTCTTAGATCCATGAATAGAATAAAATGATACTGGGTTGAGTCTAGCGGAAGGAGCTAGTTTCCCACAACATGATGAACCAAGGTTCGAATTCCCGCCGGGAAAACTGCTCACATTTAGTGCCCAACAGTGTTTCGAATAGGATAACCTCCAATAAGAGGATACCTATGCTTTAACCAAAAAAAAAAAATAAAATGATTTTAAAAAAATCATATCAACATGGATTGGATCTCATGGAATAAGCTAGTCCAGCACAGTTTTCTAAATTAAGAATTTGAGTTCCAGTCACCAATAATCTCTACAAGAGCACAAGCCGTTGGTGAATCGGTGAAATCTATTGATATCTCTCACGATGATTTCTCTCCCCAAAATCTCTGAAGCAAACTTCATCACAGTATGACAATCCCCACAAGTTCTCAGATTTTTCTTTATCCTTATTGAAGACCCACTCGGGAGGACCAGAAGACCAAATGCCAGAGCTAGTTTTTCGCTGTGGCACCACAAACTCTGTTCTTCAGATCCTTCCACACTGTTAGTCGCAAACTGGATCTCAGCCACATATCCTCTCTTCTTTACCAACTCTTTTAACTTTTTCAGCACTTCGTAAATCTCATCTGTCCTTGAATGTGACTTATCATTGACAGTAAATACAAAGGTCTGGTTCCTAAAC